AATCCCAGCTACTCGAGAGGCTGAGGCAAGAGAATCGCTTGAACCCAGGAGGTGGAGGTTGCAGTGAGCCAAGATCACGCCATTGCACTCCAAGCCTGGGTGACAGAGGGAGACTCTGTCCCCCCCAAAAAAAGAAAAAAAATTAACATAACTATTAATATATTTGGGCTTAAGATTGCCATTTAAGTTATTTTTTATTCATTCTCTCTGTTTTCATTTCTCTCTTTGCTTTTTCTTCATTCTTCTGGGTTATTTGAACATTTTAAATCATATATTGATTTATTTATGTTATTTTGAGTGTATCTCTTTGTAAAGCTTTTTAGTGGTTTCTCTAGGGTTTACATTATATTTAAATAATTTATCACGGTTCAGCGCTTTGTCATTTTACCAGTATGAGTGACATGTAGAAACTTTACCTCTTAGCCAAGTGAGGGAAAGCAGCTGAATTTCAATGCAGACATGTAGAAGAAACTAAGAAACTTACTTTAAGGGCCACATAGGCCCTTAAACATGTCCATTTAGATGTAATTGTCTTAACTATTTCTTCCACAGACATTTAGAACCATGCTGGACAATCTCATGATTTTTGCTTTAACCATAAAAAATAATTTAGAAAACTCAAGAGGAGAAGGAAAGGCTACTATAATTATCTGTATTTTAATATACTGTGTTCTTTCTTCTTTAAGAATAGTTCAATGTTTGGTTTGTTTGTTTTTTGTTCTTGTCCTTTCCTTTCTTTATAACTTCTTTTAGCTGTTCTTCCAGGGTAGGTATGCTAGTGACAAATCCTCTCAATGTTTTTTCATCTGAGAATGTCTTAATTTCCCTTTTATTCTTAAAGGATATTTTTGCTGAATATTTGCTTCTCGATTGACATTTTTTTCTTCCAGCAGTTGAAAAATGTGTAACTTCCTTCTGACTTCTGTGGTTTCTAATGAGAAACTCACTTTAATTCTAATTGTTTTTCCTGTATAAGTAAGGTGTTATTTCTTTCTTCTGCTATCAAGATTTTTTCTTTGTTTCCAGAAGTTTGACTTTGATATGTGTTGGTGTAAATTTCTTTAGGGGGTGTCCCTTTTGGAGTTTGCTAAGCTTCTTGAATTTGTAGGTTATGACTTTTGCCCTATTTGGAATGCTTTCAGTCATTATTTGTTCAAATACTTTTTTGTCCCTGTTCTTTTTTTCTTCTCCTTTTGAGGTTTGTATGATAGGATTGTTCGATTTTTTTTTCATTTTTTTTTTCTTTTTTTAAGTTAGGGTCTCACTTTGTCACCCAGGCTGGAGTACAGTGGCATGATATTGCCTCACTGCAACCTCTGCCTCTGAGGCTCAAGTGATCCTCCTGCCTCAGCCTCCCTAGTAGCTGGAACCATAGGCACACGCCACCACCACCCAGCTAATTTTTTGTATTTTTGGTAGGAATGTTTTTTCACATGTTGCCCAGGCTGGTCTCAAACTCCTGAGTTCAAGCAATCCACCTGCCTCAGCGTCCCAAAGTGCTGAGATTATAGGTGTGAGCCACTGCACCTGGCCTGATTTTTTTTCTTACAGTTCCACAGTTTCCCAAGGCTCTGTTCATTTTTTGTACCAGCCTATTTTTTTTATTATGGTAAGATACATGTAACATTTAATCTGTCATGAAACTAGAATAAAATTTAGAAAAATCAAAAAAAGTATATGTAGCATAAATGTTAACATTTAAACCCCTGAGTGTATGATTCAGTGCCATTAAGTACATTTACATTGTTGTTCAACATTATCACTATCCATCTCCAGAACTTTTCCATCATCCCAAACTGAAACTTGGTACCCATTAAATAATAACTCCTAGTTCTCCCTCATCCCAGGTGCTGGTAGACACTATTCTACTTTCTTGATGAATTTGACTATTATGGAAATCTCATAAGTGGAATAATACAGCATTTGTTCTATTGTGTCCAACTTATTTCAATTAGCATAATGTATTCAAGGTTCATCTATGTTGTAGCATGCATTAGAATTTAATTCCTTTTAAGGCTGTATGATATTCCATTGTACGTTGTATTAGTCTGTTCTCAGGCTGCTGTAAAGAACTGCCCGAGACTGGGTAATTTATAAAGGAAAGAAGTTCGACATGACTGGGGAGGCCTCAGGAAACTTACAATCATAGTGGAAGGGGAAGCAAAACACCATTGCATGGCAGGGACGAGAGGAAGGTGGTGAGCAGGGAAACGGGGAAAGCCCTCCTTATAGCAAACTGGTAGCAGCTTCAGTGACTGAGATACCCTCCAGCCTCCAACTCACCTGATCCATGAGAACAGCATGGGGTAACTGCCCCCATGATTCAATTACATCCCACTGGGTCCCTCCCATGACACATGGGGATTATGGGAACTACAATTCAGGATGAGATTTGGGTGGGGACACAGCCAAACCATATCATATGTATATACCAAATTTTGTTTATCCATTCATCAGCAGATGAACATGTGAATTGTTTCCATTTTTGGCTATTGTGAATAATGATGTTATAAACATTGATGTACAAATATGTTTGAATTTCTGCTTTCAATTCTTTTGGATGTATACCTGAAAGGGAAATGCTGGATCATTTGGTAATGCTATGCTTAATTTTTGAGGAACTGCCATATTGTTTTCCACAATGGTGCATCATTTTACATTCTGTTAAGCTGCTGTACAGACTAGGTCATTTCTATCATTCTATCTCTATTTTACTGACCTTTTTCTTTTTTCCTTTTGATTCTTCTGTTAAGCCCATTCATTTAGCTTTTGGTTTCGGTTATTGTACTTTTTAGGTTCTAAATTTCCATTGGCATTTGGTTCTTTTTTTTTTTTCCTTTCCTTTCCAACTTTTATTTTAGGTTTAAGGGTTACATGCACAGGTTTGTTACATGGGAAAATAGCGTGTTGTGGAGGTTTGGTGTACAGATAATTTTGTCATCCAGGTAATCTGTATAATACCTGATAGGTAGTTTTTCAATCTTCGTTCTCCTCCCATCCTCCACCCTCAAATAGGCCCCAGTTATTGTTCCTTTCTTTGTCATGTGTACGCAATGTTTAGCTCCCACTTATAAATGAGAACATGTGGTATTTGGTTTTCTGTTTCTATGTTAATTTACTTAGGAAATATCCTCCAGCTCCATCCATGTTGCTGTAAGGTCATGATCTCATTTCTTGTATAGCTGCACAGTATTGCATGCTATATATGTGCCACATTTCTTTATCCAATCCACCACTGATGGGCATCCAGGTTGATTCCAAGTCTTTGCTATTGTGAATAATGCTGTGATGAACAGATATGTGCATGTGTCTTTATGGAGAATGATTTATATTCCTTTGACCATATATACGTAATAAGATTGCTGGGTCAAATGATAGTTCTATTGTAAGTTCTTTCAGAAATCTCCAGACTGCTTTCCGTAGTGGCTAAACTAATTTACCTTCCTACCAGCAGTGTACAAGTGTTCTCATTTCTCTGAAACCTCACCAACATGTTATTTTTTGACTTTTTAATTATAGTCGTCCTGACCAGTGTGAGATGGTATTTCATTGTGGTTTTGATTTGCATTTCCCTAATGATTAGTGATATTGAGCATTTTTTCATATGCTTGTTGGCCACGTGTGTGTCTTCTTTTGTGAAGTGTCTATTTATGTCCTTTGCTGGTCCTTATTTACATCTTGTGTATCTTAGATAAGCTGAATTTGTTTGTTGAGACTTTATTTGTTTCAAGCATGTTCGTAATTGTTTATTGAAACATTTTATGAGGGCTGCTTTAAAATCTTTGTCAGCTAATTCTAACTTCTCTGTCATTTCAGCAGCATCTCTTGATTGTCTTGTTTCATCTAGTTTGAAATCTTCTAGTGCATGTACATCCTGGTTCTTGAGGAGATGAAAGATTTTTAATTGAAACTTGGACATTTGGGTATTTTTTTTTTTTTTAATGAACTCTGGATCCTATGTTGTAGGATAAAGCAATAAATAAATGTGTTATTGTTCATAAGTAGCCTAGCTGTTTTCTAATGCTCATCATTCCAGCTACCTAGTGGTAGGCAAAAACCTCCAGTCTGTTCTTCCATGAGAGATTTTCTTTCTTCTTTTTTTTCTTTTTGTTAATGTTCTATTACCAAATTCTAGTGTAGTTCTATGTGGATCAACCTTTAGCACCTCTAAATTTGTGGACTTTCTCTGTGACCTAGGATGTAGTCTATTTTGATAAATATTTCATATACACTCGAAATGAGTGGATATTAACTTTTCATTTTGTAGTGTTAAGAATTTGTAACATGTAATTATTTCTTCTCCCAGATTGAAATATAACACCAGATCCCAATGATAAAACAACAAAAAACTTCAGGGCAGGATATGCCGTTTACTGATTTAACTATTTCATCAGTTCTGTATATATACTGATTGAATGAATAAACATTTCAAAAATAAGGGATAGGAAAAAAGTCATCTGGAAGTAGAAAAGAATGTTTTAAATTACTTATCTAAAATGGCTTCTTACAGTTGTCACATATTCTTTTAAGGACTTGAGATGTGTATTTCAGAGTAATGTGTCATAAATCAGCATGATTTTTAGAAAATATGTTCTGTATCATCCTTCAACAATACCTAAAATAACTTCTTTGGTACTTTACTCATGTAAATCTCTACATGAAACTAATAGCAGAAGGCTACTATTTCTGGTAATTCTGATAAAAGTTTCCATGTCTTAATTTCTGTATAATCTAAGTGGTTACAAGTAGCTATCTAAAATTACATAAAACAAGTTGACCAATACTGGCTCACCGCTAATTAACAGAATAATGTCGGACAAAACACTCCTCAGTTTTCTAATATGCATAATGCGAGTTAGTACAGCACTTCATTGCGAGATCAGAAATGAAAGCATTTTTACATAAGAGACACTACAGAAATAATGTGAACTGTAATGCTATTATGACCGTTTGCCTAATGGTGAATGATTAAACATTTAAAAAGTTTATTTTCATCTTAGATCATTCCATTGGAAAGAGGTCGAAAATGTACAGTAGGCATGCACAAAGGATAACGCCTGGAAATAAGGTAAAACTAGAGAAGAGGAGGGAGGCGGGGCCCAATTTTGGCTTCTCCTTCCATCTCCGCCCCCCGAACGCCGGCCTGCGAGTGACGTCACGCGAGACTTGTACTTCCGCTTCCGGTAACTCACGTTTCTCTTTCTTCCTGTCAGCCTGGAAAGATGGCGTCCCGCAAGGAAGGCACCGGCTCTACTGCCACCTCTTCCAGCTCCACCACCGGCGGAGCAGGGAAAGGTAAAGGCAAAGGCGGCTCCGGAGATTCAGCCGTGAAGCAAGTGCAGATAGATGGCCTCGTGAGTGCTGTTCCGTTTCCTCTGGCCCACGTGGGGAGCGCAGTTCCCAACCCCGTCCCACCAGCCGTACTTTTCAGCATTCTCTCCCCCGGGCTTGGTGTGGCTGGGCCAAAGTTTTTCCCTAGTACTTTTCTCTTTCATCTTCACTTTTTGTTCAGGAGAGGCGAGAACCTTCTTTTGTCTTCTAACGGGGCAGTTGGGGCTTCAGGAAGGGGACTGAGAATAGGGGTGTGAGTGACAGGTTCCTGGGGTCTTGTTTCGAGATGCCCGGTGGGGGGATTTGGAGAAAGACTCCTGGAGACAAGCAGCTAACAAAGGTGTCGAGTAGGATTTAGGGACCTAGTAGGGCTCTGGGAAGGAGAGAGTAAGGAAACTCCACTGCTTTCCTGCTGGGATCTGACATCTATAACTTCCCAAGTGGAGGTGTACCTTGTAGCCCCTCTTTTGAGCCTGTACTTCGGCGCTTTATCTGAAACCGCATAATTTAAAATAGACTCTTTTGTAGTGTTCATTCTGAAAAACAAAAGAATATCAAAGAGAAGGTCCTTAGATGTGTTTAGTAGTTAAGGTTCGTGAACTAGGACATCCAAGGAAATTCTGGATAAGGAAATGGACTTAGCTGGCAAAAGGAAAATCTAGAATGAGAAATTTTATTTCTGTTGTTTCGAAGCAAAATGCATTTATACGACGTTCTAGTTTTAAAAGCATCCTTCCTGCCTCTCTTTTTAAAAAGCATCCTCTCTTCTTTTGATTGTTTTTTAAAGGTTATTTCCTATTAATGCAGATCTTAGATATTTGTAATAAGGAAGTACTTTTAAATTCATGTGAAAATTGTAATTGCAAGGGGGTATTTTTAAGTGGAAACTATTGATAATTTAAACCCAGCGTATAACTGAATCAGTTGAACTGACTTAGTTAAACTGGATACCAAAGTGTAGCCTGGTGATTAAGAGCTCATTCAGTCTTCTAGGCTCTTCCACTTTAACCAGCTCTGTGACTTTAGGCAAGTTAGCCTTTCCAAGCTTTGCTTTCCTCATCTGTCAAGTGGGAATGATAAGTATCTATATCATAGAGTTGTTTGGATTAAATGAAAAAAATTATGTGGTGACCTGTAGTACAATGTAATCATTTAATGTTAGTTATGGTTACTATTATGAGTTTAATGTCTGTGGTTAGCAGAGTTTGAAAGATGCAGGCAAGAGATTAACTTTGGAATGTTTTGTTCTAAATGCCACTTGTGTAATACTTTGAAAATGCAGACCGGGCGCGGTGGCTCAGGGCTGTAATCCCAGCACTTTGGGAGGCCGAGGCGGGTGGATCACGAGGTCAGGAGTTCGAGACCAGCCTGACCAACATGGTGAAACCCCGTCTCTACTAAAAATACAAAAATTAGCCGGGCATGCTGGCGAGCGCCTGTTATCCCAGCTACTCAGGAGGCTGAGGCAAGAGAATCACTTGAACCTGGGAGGCGGAGGTTGCAGTGAGCCGAGATTGTGCCACTGCACTCCAGCCAGGGCAATAGAGCGAGACTGCGTCTCAAAAAACAAAAACAAAAACAAAAAACAGAAAAGAAAATGGCGTACTGTTTGGTCTGTGTACTGGCACTCTGGCTTTCCCTGGCTCATGGGAGGCAGATGTGTGTTCAGGAATAAATGACGTGTCTTTAGAGACTGCAAATCTCTAAAGTTAGTGGGTGAACTTAGATTACACTTGTTAAAATAAGTGCCACTTGGCCGGGTGCGGTGGCTCACGCCTGTAATCCCAGCACTTTGGGAAGCCAAGGCGGGTGGATTGCGAGGTCAGGCGATGGAAACTATCCTGGCTAACACGGTGAAACCCCTTCTCTACTAAAAGTACAAAAAATTAGCCGGGCGTGGTGGCGGGCGCCCGTAGTCCCAGCTACTTGGGAGGCTGAGGCAGGATAATGGCGTGAACCCGGGAGGCGGAGCTTGTAGTGAGCCGAGATCGCGCCACTGCACTCCAGCCTGGGTGACAGAGTGAGACTCCGTCTCAAAAACCAAAAAAATAAAAAAATAAAAAGAATAAAATAAATACCACTTATACACTTGGGAAATGTTTATTTCTTAGAAACATATTTCTTATTAAATTTGCTATGTCACAACAGTACTCTTTGAATCACTTAGTTTCCAGAGTTGAAAAAGGCAACAGGTCGGTGGCATAAATCTATTTGGAGGTCATTTATTCAGCAAATATTTTAGGACATTCTTTTAAGTGCCAAATACTGTCTAACATAGGGCAGTGATAAAAGCACTTCCATAACAATGTCCTGGCAGCTTTAAGAGGGATTGTTGAATTAAAAAGAGACCTCTGCAGGTGGAGATGGACTGGATCACTTCAAGTTTCACAAATAGGCAGTGGGCTTAGGAAGGTTAAGAAACTGGTTCTCAATTTTGTGGTTTCACAAATTGCTTTTTTTTTTTTTTATCAGCTCTCTCAGAATTGATTAATGCTAAGGAACCGATTAATCCTTCTCACAGGAGATTGGTTTATATACATGTAAATGTTGATTTACTCATTTACTGTGGAAGACATACCTTTTCAGTGGTGAAAATGCTCATATCTACCACCAAAAAGACCCTTTTTGATTACCAAAGCACCTTGGAAATCGGATAAAAAATCAGAAGCTTACTAGTGACTCCAAAATCAATCATAATAAGAGCAGCTAAAGGATTATTTTACTTGAGGGTTATTTATATCCAGATTCTTGATGAACTTAGTGAATTATCTCTCATTCACAGTAGTGGGTACCTCTCTGCTTTTTTCTCCACCGGTTGGGTAGATATTAACAAAATAAATTCCTAACAACTTTCCCTATCTTTGGACATCTGCTTTTCTGTCGTTTATATAATTTTAGGCAGCTAGATTATAATGCAGTTGCAAGGTTCTTTTATCTTGGTTGCTCATATTTTAATTGTGAATGTTTTCCAGTTACCATAAATCATGTAGGGAACATTGAAATGGTATGTTCTTTATGCCTTATACATTATTAGATACAAGGAGTACTGGTTACTCTAAATTTTATTAATGGATGATTGTACTTGGAGTGACCAAGAATCATCCATCTTTAATACTGTCTCCACATGGATATCTTATAAGTATACCTACCTTTGCCCAGATACAATTTAAAAAAACTCTTACACCCTCCCCTGCCCTCCCCTCCCTTCTCTCCCTCACTCCCTCCCTCCCTCTCTCTCTCTCTCTTTCTCTCTTTCTCTCTTTCTCTCTCTTTCTTTCTTTCATCTTGATTAACAGTGTTACTCTTAGGAAAGCGGTATTATATATTAGCCAAGAGAATCCTGAAGACAGTCTTGGATTCAGATCTTTATTCCAGCAGTAAGCATGACCTTGGGGAAGTTATTAATTTTTCTAGGCCTCAGGCTTATCCTTTATAAAATGGGGATGATGATAACGTAGTAACTCATAGGCTTGTGAGAATGAAATTCTGAGGTATTTAAAGTGTTTAGTACCTGTATCGTCGTAAACAGTCAGATTACTGTCAGTGTCTTTGCCACTCTCATCCTTATTAATGTTCCTCAAATCATTCCGAAAGCTAACTTTGCTAATGTAGATTAGAATTGTAGAAAGAGCACTGAACTGGTAATCAGGAGACATGCGTTCCAGTCTGCAACCACCAGTAACTAACAACACTTCTATGATTGTTTTACTCCAAAGGTACATGATTTCTTTCTTTTGCTTTCATACCTAAATCCTGAGGGTTCTTACTGGTGTATGACCCCAGTCAATCACTATCCTTCCTTTTAGGCCACTTACTCCTCACCTTTTATGTTTCTTCCCTATCTGTGCATGTTGGAATGCCTCATGGTTTAGGTTTTGGCTTTTCTTTTAGTCTCTGCTTGACATAGGTAGTGTAATGAAGTTAATCCAAGTACATGCTCTGCAGCCAGACTGCTTGGGTTTGATTCCCAGCTCTGAAATTCGCTGAATGACATTGGGCAAGTGTTTGTGCCTCATTCTCCTCATCTGAATTGTTTTGAGACTTTAAATGGACTGAATATATGTCAATAAGTAGAACAATGTCCGGGACAGAATAAGTCACCATTTAGGTGTAGCTGCTGCTTTATTTGCAGTAATTATAGTAGTATTTTTTAAGGTATTCTTATCTGTGCTCATGGCTTTAAATATTATTTATGTGCTGGTAAGTCCCAGATTTATATTTCTGCCAGTAATGGCTCTTGAATGCTTCTCTTGATTACCCATTGCCTGTTTGATGTCACTATTTGGATATCTCATAGGCATCTCGTGTTTAACATGTCCAAAATAGAATTATAGACTACTTGTTCTCCTTACTTTTCCATCACAGCACCCTGTATTTCTGTCTAGGATTTTCCGCAGCCTGTAACTATCTTGTTTGTTTTCTTCTTTGTTTTCTCCATCAGAATATATGCTACTGAGGGCAGGGACTATGCTTTTTCACCTGTTTTATCTCGAATGCTGAACCTGTTAATTGACAGAGTAGGGTAAATGAATGAGTATGTATTCCATTTTTTTATTTATACTACTCCTAGTTTATGTTCTAGTATCTTATATAGCTTATTTTAATATTGTTTTCCCCTGCCCTCTTCAGTCTCTACCATTCATACTTTTTAGTTCATTTAATGTGAACATTCAGATTTTAACTTCTTTCCTTAGATGTTTGCAGTGACTTTCCATTGAATTTAAAGCCCACCAAAATGTTCTTGTTTCTTGCATTTATGATCAGGTTTATTTCCTTTCTTTCCAAGCTTTGTAGGAACTGTAAATTCCAGCCACTCAGACTACTTGTTGTTTTCTTTAATAAGTCATGCTAAAGGCCGGGCATGGTGGCTCACGCCTGTAATCCCAGCACTTTGGGAGGCTGAAGCAGGTGTATCACGAGGTCAGGAGATCAAGACCATCCTGGTTAACATGGTGAAACCCCGTCTCTATTAAAAATACGAAAAATTAGCCGGGTGTGGTGGGCGCCTGTAGTCCCAGCTACT